AAAGATACGCTGACACCCCCTCCCCCCCCCTCCCTTCGGCGTGCCCCCCTCCCCCTCCCCTTCGGCGTGCCCCCTTCCCTCCGTCAGCGAGATCGGGGCAGCGGCCATTTTGTCAGCTGACTCCCAAATCCGTTTCGAACGACTGCTAAATCAGCATCAGCGCTGACGTGAATGACCGCAGCCAGATTCCTGCAGTCTGCGGCTGAATAGGCTGATGAAGCATTGTCTGTCGCTTTTACGGTCGATCTGTTTCTCTCCGCGCCTCTGTTGCGGTCGCGGGAGGTATGGGGATTGGGGGGGGGGGTCAGTGGGGAATGGGCTTTATAGGCGGTGGGGATCGTAGGACGGGTTTCGGGTGTAAAAGTGTCTTTCTCAGCAATTTCTTAGTGACACTCCCATTGTGGAAATTACAAGTGGTACATGATGTTGCCCAGTAAGGGAATCAGTGTGAGACGGTCGATGGATATCTTTTTTTAAGAACGGGGAGAAGAAAGAAAATGAAGTAGGTTCTATATTCGTTAATTGTTCCCCTGTTCTTCCCCCGAGTGACGTCAGACCCCATCGCGCAGGATGACTTCGGTCCTCGCAGAGATGACGCGGCAGAACCCTCGCCGTGGGTGTCCTCGCAGTACAACGGGCGCTATTAGCTTCCAACATGGCAAGCCTCTTATTAGATTAAATAGTTTGGCCGATTTAATAACCGCCAATTAAGGGTGGATCGATACGAAGTGCTTACAAAATATATATTCTTTCTGTTCTTTATTTATTATTCTTTTTTAGGGTTAGGACTGGATTCATGTTGTTCATTGGTATGTTGTTTTTTGGTACGTCGTATGAGGCTTGAAAAAATATTTAAAGGGGCCACAGACCATTCCATTTCGCACGTCGGTTAAGCCAGTCAACGGGCGCTGTTGACCGGACCGCGCCGGCCCTTGACAAGGAATTATAAACTCCTCGCAAGTGAATACACAGACAACTCGAGAGAGAAATGTCTCGCTCCCTCTTCTTGCGCCCCGTGCAGCGTCGCCCTCGCCTCGTCTCTTGTTCTCCTCGTACCACGAAAGTTCAATTAATAATGTGGCATTGTTGTTAATTGCGTGTCTCGGCGGCGGGGAGCCAATTATTGCCAGGAACACAAGACGGTTCCCAAGGCCGCTGTCGCCTCGCCTCGCCTCGCCTTGTCTCATTTCGCCTCAGCTCGCCTCGGTCTCTTACTCTCATTCGCTCTTTCACTCGTTCGCTCGTCCGTGCTTCGCTTTGGGATTCATCTTTGCGCTTCGGTTCCCCGGGCTGAGGGTGAGGCTCTCTGGCGGGGATATTTGCAAGTTTTTGCGTATGATTTTTTTTCTCTTTCGTCTTAAAGAGTTTTTAAACAAAAATTGCCTTCGAGCACTTAGCGGAGCGTTACAAAACAGCAACAAAGGATTAGGATATGGGGACGGGGGTCTCTGCTAATCCGATTAGTAGCTCGGCTTCTGATTATGTTTCTCGTTTTCTCATCATTTTGTGGCTTCTCTCTCAGTTTCATCTCTTTTCTGATTGGTTCTTTTCATTTTGCTTCTTATTCTGTTGGCATTTTTCGTTTTTTTATCTTTATCTTTTGTACCTTTAGTTGATGGCCCTTGGTTGATACTCGTACATTTTCCCTTCAGCGCAACAGTGTCTTCTCTTTGCTTCCGTTGCGAGTGAATGTTTAAGTATATTGATCGAAACTTTGTTGCTGTTGTGAGAGTCATCTCGTTGCGTTTCAAATGATTATCTTAACCTGCCTGTCAGCTTGATATCATTCATCAACCTATCGGGCATCTTCGCCTCGAACTTGAGAAAAGAAAATTATGAAACGATTTTTCAGTTCTTTTGCATTTTCTCCCGATATATTTTACTCAACCAGTCTTTTCTCCTTCGTCCCTCTCTTCTTTCTTTTCCTTTATTTTCATCTTCTTCTATTCCAATTTCCCCACCTTTCGACGCTGGCGGTGGGGCTTAACCCGAAGGCCCCGAGACAGCGTATAAATGCCACGACACCTGACACAAATTCTATCATCCCGGTACTTTATACCTCGGGGAAGTCCGGCTTAATCCCGAAAGGTTTGTGTATTTTGTTCATGCTCCATAATCACACATCTTCGAAACATCCGTATTAAATTTGAAGGTTATTACTATTTTCTCCTCGTCCTTTCGCTTCGTCCGTAATGACACGTAATTTGGCCCCGAGAGTCCGCCAGGGTCGAAATCCCCCTTGAATGACACGACGGTATCGCATAATCAAATTACACCGCGTAGCGATCACCCACATTACGCGAGCTCATGTACACCGCCCGTGTAATCTGCATTCGGAACCCTCCATTGACGCCCGCGACGCCCGCTGCTCTGTGTGGGCTCTTTTTGGGGGGTGGCGGGCGGGGGCGGAGTGGGTGGCTGAGGGGCCGGCTGGGTCTGTTCGTGGGCGGTGTTTGTTTGTTTATTTATTCAGTGTACTGTTTAGAGAGAGAAAGAGATC